GCGAGAGCTTCTTTTCATCGACAATCTGACTGCCGCTTTCAGAGCCTACAGACTGGAGAAAATGGGATATTAAAACCTAATTTTTTGAGAAGAATTTGAATAAATAAATAACTTTTTTTTTGAAATTCTTAAATTTGCCGGAAAGTTTTGAGTTTTCGCAATTTGAATCTTATCAATAGGTACTGTAGCTTTTGAGATGTACGCCTTGGATAACCAAAAGTTGAAAGGCGCTCAACTCAAAAACCACAGTAGCCACCAAAAGTTTTTAACAACAGAAATGTGTAAAATTTTGAGCTGAGCAATTTTGCAGTTGACAATTTTTTGACAGCAACTGTAGTTTTCGAGATATGCGCCTTTAAAGTCGATGTCTGCGTCTCCACTCCCCCTCCTCCCGCCCTTTAAAGCGCACCAACTTTAAAGGCGTGTAACTCAAAAACTACTGTAGGTACCAAAACGTTCTAAACTACAAAAATGTGTAAAATTTTATGCTGAGCTATGTCATATTTGGTGAAATTTTGAGGACTACTGTAGTTTTTGAGATAAGCGCCTTTGAAGTCGATGTCTGCACCTCCCCTCCCCTTCCTCTCGTCCTTGACAGCGCACCAACTTTAAAGACGCATAACTCAAAAACTACGGTAGCTATCAAAAAATTGTAAACTATAAAAATGTGTAAAATTTTATGTTGACCAATTTTGCAGTTGGTAATTTTCTGATAGCTACTGTACTTTTTGAGATATAGGCTTTTAAAAATACGCTCACCCTTGATTCTCGACGAATCCCTGTGTCTGTTGAACGTATTGCTCAGCGGCCGATTTATCGGAGTAGATTCCCAATGGTGAATTGTACTGCATATGTTTGACACGTTGGTCCGTCTCGAATGGCAACGCCGAGCTGTTGAAACCTTGTGGTGGGCGGGACTTAAAATTTTGGAATAAAAAAAAGTTTTTTTTCAGAAAATTTAGTTTTGAAAGTTTTGATTTTAAAGGTTTTTTTTGTGTTTTGTGTGCATTTTTTGGAATTTTTGGGCTACTGTAGCTACCGTAGAATGGCTGTATCTACAGCGGGACTACTGTAGCTCTATAGGGTTACTGTAGCCTACTCACATCACTCGAATGCTGCAAATTGACACGAAACGGCGTGTGATCTTGAGTTGGACCAGTATTTTCAGTGACTTCTGGACGCCAAATTCTTGTTGGCGCACCGGAAGATTGCCTGGAAAATGGGTACTGAAGGGGTACTGTAGTTTTGAAATTTTGGTTTTTTTGGTCAAAAATCTCAAAAATTCGATTTTAAAACATTTGAATTTCCCGCATTTTTATGATTGCAGTTTTAAAATTACCATGGTTTTGGTGTCGTTGTGATTCTCACCATTTTACTTGTGAATAATGATTACTGTGGATTACTGTAAAAAAAGAAAACAATCAAAACAATTGAACTTTTGAACGACAAAAAAAGTGATAAGAATATAAGCAAATTAGAAACAAATTATCATAAAATGGAGGTTTTTCTTGGAGAACACAAAAAATTCTGAGAGACGCAGAGAAACGAGACGACTCTCGCTTCTCTGCGTCTCCTCTAGAGGAAAGACGGTGGCGCCGACTCGCCTAACTTTAAAGGCGCATATCTCAAAAACTACAGTAGCCCTCCAAATTTCACCAAATATGACATTGCTCAGCATAAAATTTTAGACAAGTTTGGAGTTTAGAACGTTTTGGTGCCTACAGTAGTTTTTGAGTTACGCGCCTTTAAAGTTGGTGCGCCTTCAAGGGCGAGAGGAGGGGAGGGGAGGTGCAGACATCGACTTTAAAAGCGCATATCTCAAAAACTACAGTAGCTATCTAAAAATTGTCAACTGCAAAATTGCTTAACATAAAATTTTTCACATTTTTGCAGTTGATTACATTTTGATAGCTACTGTAGTTTTTGAGATATGCGCCCTCAAAGTCGAGAAAATTTAGTAAAATCTCAATTTTAGGAAATTCTAAAGAGATATTTAAGATATTATACTCAGAAATGTGCACAAAAACTATTCAAAATTGCCGGAAAATAGAGGGAAGGGGGTCCAAAAGAGAGGAAGTGGGAGAGTATTTTCCTATATTTTTATTCCATTTCATAGGATTTTTTTTCTATTTTTGGAGAAAAAAGAAGAGAGAGCATAAACATTGTGAATATCACAAATATTATATGTGTATGGAGAGGGAGAGAGACGCAGAGAAATTTAGAAAAAAATTCTAAAATTCCGAAAATTCTAATGTTCTAATGTTCTAAAATTCTAAAATTCTAAAATTCTAAAATTCTAAAATTCTAAAATTCTAAAATTCTAAAATTCTAAAATTCTAAAATTCTAAAATTCTAAAATTCCAAAAAAAAAATAAAATTCCGAAAATTTTAAATGTCTAAAATTCTAAAATTCTAAAATTCTAAAATTCTAAAATTCTAAAATTCTAAAATTCTGAAAAAAAAACCCAAAATCTTCCTATAAAATATCAATGATCATGAGACTTTCTCTTCTCTCATCATCATCATTTTCATAATAATAATAACAATATAACCTATTTAAAATTCAAAATTTCCAAGAGAAACCGTTCCTTCTCCTTCTCCTTCTTCTCCAGAAGAAGAAGAAGATTCTGACGGAAAGGGAGAAGAAAAGAAGAAAAAGAAGAATGTTGCCGTTTTCTCCTCTCCATCCGATTGCCCTGATTCTTATCTTTTAGTAGAATTATATAAAATGCAGAATATACAGAGAGAATTTCGTCTCATGCAAGCGTTCGAAATTTCCAGAAAGAGAGAGTATAGAGAAGTGAGAGACGCAGAGAAACATGAAAAATGATTATATGACCCTTGGAATGATTGTTTACCAGTTAACCTACTTTTACTAGGTAATCCCAATAAGACTAGAGATCAAAAGTGACACAAGTTTAAAGACGCACATCTCAAAAGCTACAGTAGCCGAAAGAAAGATTTCAACTACAAAAATGTGTGAAATTTTATGCTGAGCAATTTTGTAGTTTACAATTTTTATCTAGCTTTTGTAGTTTTAGAGATATGCGCTTTTTTACATTTCGTGCCAGGAAAGGAAGGCTAGAAGTGCGACTGCGTTACTTTAAAGACGCGTATTTCAAAAACTACAGTAGCTATCAAAACGTTGTTAACTTCCAAATTGCTCAGCATAAAATTTTACACATTTTAGCATTTTGCAAATTTTTCTAGCTACAGTACTTTTTGAGATATGCGCCTTTAAACATCGTGTTTTTTGAAAAGCTTAGAGATTTCTTTGAAAATAGGATTTTTTTAAAGTATTTTTTTTTCAAAATTTTATAACTTTTGGGTTACTGTAGTTACAGCAATTGCTACAGTAATTTTTACAACAACTCAAAACAGAAGTCTGATGATTAAATGTTTATCGAAATTTGAATGAAATTTTTTTTGAAATTTATGTGGAAGAAATGTATGTGGAATTTATATCACTCAAAAGCCCTTTAAATTTCCTTCAAAACTTTTTAACTTTCATCAAATTTGGTTGCCGTTGAAGCGAGTTATGTACCTTTAAAGTTTGTCGGAAAGACGCAGAGAAGCGAGGGCGCTCTCGCTTCTCTGCGTTTCCCCTCCCCTCAATCGGCGAAGAAGGCGCGTCAACTTTAAAGGCGCATATCTCCAAAACTATGGCAGCTAGCAAAAAATTGTAAACTACAAAAATGTGTAAAATTTTATGTTGAGCAATTTTCTAGTTAAGTTTGTTTTTATAGCTACTGTAGTTTTTGAGATATGCGTCTGTAAAGTTAAGGCACCTTCGTGAGGAAGAGAGACGCAGAGAAACGAGAGTACTCAATCTTCTCTGCGTCTCTTTGGTGTTGTTAGTAATTATTCATCATTTTTAGGTCATTTTTTGTCGTTTTGTTCCCAATTTTAGCCCTAACTTCCATACATACCTTGTCACAATAAGCTCAATTTTCTCATGAGCCGTCACCAAGAGTCGATCAACTGCGTTGATATCCAAATTGTCCAAATCTTCCAATTTATCAACGACATCTCCATTTCGAAGACCAGCACGATCCGCCAAACTGCCTCCGATAACCTGAAAAAAGAAATTCAGAAATTCCAAAAAATTCCTAAAAATATTTTTTAAAATTTCTAAAATTTCCCATTTTTCAATTCCATATTTTTCACATTAACACATTGTTTTGTTCTTAAGTGCTCCCCGAAATCTCAAAATCACCGTTTCTCTGCGTCTCTCATTTTTTCATACTCTCTCACTCTCTCTCTTGCTCATTTTTTCACCACAAAATCGGCTCATTTACACCGCTTTTTCATCCGTTTTCACTTTTTTTTTCTCTCTCTCTCTCTCTTTCATTTCAGTAGTAATATGTGTGTACCTGGGAGCATGCCGTGATTATTACAATTTAGAGAAAAAATGAAAATGAAAAAGAGAGAGAGAGAGAGAGAGAGAGAGAGAGAGAGAGAGAGAGAGAGAGCAATCCGGAAGAAAAAATGGATGAGACAGACACACGTTTGTCCAGATGTCCGTGAAACTTCTTGAATTTAATTGTTCTGAATTTCAGCTTTTTCAGATATTCAGGATTTTGGATTTTTTGGATTTTCCTGGAATTTTAGAATTTCTCGGATTCCAAGAACTTTTACTTTTCTTGAATTTTCAGGATTCTGGGTTCTTTCTAAAATTTTTAGGAATTTTAGAATTTTCTAGAATATCACTTTTTTTGGAAACCTTCCAATTTTTCTGATTTCAAGGTTTCTGGAAACTTCCAGGATTTTTTAAATTTTTTCGAAATCTCTGACATAATTTTTTAGTAAAAAAAACTCACATTGACAATCAAAACGGCACCATCTGGAGCTTCGGTGACACCGAACCCCCATGGGGTTCGGCGATCGGACCGTGCCATTCGTACGGTCACTCTTTCCATTATTACCTGAAAAACGTTGATAATTGTTCAATCAAAAAGCTCAAAACGTTGAGAATGTTTCGAAAATTCAGAAAGTTGTAAAAATGGGAATACGGGAAATTTGAACAGCTCGATGAACTCAGAAATTGAAAAGTTTCAAAAATGGAGAATCGAAAAATCTGATTTTCAGTTTTCAGAGAACTTTAGGAATTGAAAAAACATTCAAAGTTTTTTCTTCGAACTAAACATACTGAAATAATAAAAAAATACCGTAAAACCTGTATTAGAAGGGCCCCATTCAATAGAAGGGCCCTCCGAGAGGGGTTTGGAAGAATAGAAGGGCCCTCTGTGAAGAAGGTCCCCCTTCAAAATGTGTGTTTTGAAATCAGAAAATTTCGGGAACTCCACAATTTAATAACTATTTGTCGAAACTCCATTTTTCGATGAAAATCTTGCTAAATTTTGGTGAAATTGACAGATTTTCATGAATTTTGAATTTTTCAATTTCGGAAAAAATATAAGAACCCCCTGTAATAGAAGGGCCCCCTGTACTAAAAGTGTCCCTCCGGAGGCGCCTTGGAACAATAGAAAAGCTGCCCTTGAGGTTTTACGATATTTCTATTTTTGTTGTCTTGTATACATTTACAAAAAGTGGTTATACTAGTACAAGAGAGATAGAGAAAAAGAGAGACGCAGAGAAAAATAGATTCGGGGAGATTAAGCGATTTCGGCTATATAATAGAGATGAAAAATATATAATGTTTATGTGCCTGCCAAAAACCTATACAATATTAAATGTATTTGAAAATCAAAAAGACACCAGAACGTTTCTACGACAACGAACAAGTGATTGATAGTTTTTTGATAGAAATCCGAATTTCGGAATGTTCTGAAACTGAAAAAATTTCAGGCGGAAAAACATTTGAAACGATCAAAATAGGAATCTGTAAATCCAGATGACTTCAGTTTTTCAGGGTTTTTTTTCCAGAAAAAAATTTTGTTGGGGAAAATAGATTTCGAAATTTTTTGAAATTTTTCTTTTCGCTATTCTGAAGTGACTAATTCATTGTGGGAAATAATAAGAATTGATTGACAGTTTGACAAAAAGAAGTGAACCGAAAGACAGTCCAAATGATAAAACATTAAAGGAGGTGATTCAGGTTCTATTTTATATCACTTTCAGTACATTATTAATTGCTCGATTATTGAAGTTTTGCATTTTCAGTCAACTTTCGTTTAAAGGAGGCCAGACATGAAAATTTTCAAAATTCTATTTTTTTTTAAATATATTCCACAGTACAGTCAGAAAATAACAATGGACACAAAACCATAACTCCTTGTTACTGTACAAGCGAGAACGCGACCGTTCTTCCAAGCGGTGCCCACTCCTCGTTTCATAATCGTTTTAGAGGTAGAAGCCGACAAGCGCTGTGTGGTGTAAAGGTGAGCGTGCTTGTCTATCAGTCGTGCATCGCGGGTTCGACTCCTGTATGTGCGTTTTCGTTTTTTTTTCTGTTTTCATGCGGCGACATCCTAGAATGGAAGAATAACGATGATAAAACAATGATAAAACATTAAAGGAGGCCAGACACGAAAGTCTACGGGGTTTTCTCGGGGCGAGATCATGTATTCTGACGGAAAATCGTGCGATTGCGACCAATGCGCGCTACTTGACGAGCATTTATTTTTTTAGAATACACTAGATTTCTTTACTGTTTGGCACTTATTCCCGACTTTTT